CGGGCGTGGTGGCTCAAGCCTGTAATCCCAGCACTTTGGGAGGCCGAGACGGGCGGATCACGAGGTCGGGAGATCGAGACCATCCTGGCTAACACGGTGAAACCCCGTCTCTACTAAAAAAAAATACAAAAAACTAGCCGGGTGAAGTGGCGGGTGCCTGTAGTCCCAGCTACTCGGGAGGCTGAGGCAGGAGAATGGCGTGAACCCGAGAGGAGGAGCTTGCAGTGAGCTGAGATCCGGCCACTGCACTCCAGCCTGGGCGACAGAGCAAGACTCCGTCTCAAAATAATAATAATAATAATAATAAGGCTGTGCCCTTTCTGGGCATCAGTGTCGTCACCAGTAAAAGGGATCCTATTGCTCCCTCCCTCTGCCCTTTGAGGTTGCAGAGATGCCGTGCCTGGCACTTTGCTTTCACCAAAGGGCGCTGCAGAGCCTTTGGGCTGCCTCGGTCATCATTCCTGAGGCTCAGCTTAGAGGCTTCTGAGTGTGGCACGTCCTTTCTGGGCTAGGATCTGCAGGTCACCAGGTATTATCTCCTCATCTCTGTAGTGAGGCGTCTGCTCCTTCCACTCCTCTAAGTCCCTCTCCCTCCCCTCTGGCTACCTCCCATGCCTGATTTCTCATTACTCCCCAGCTCTGTGTACCCTGAAGACCTCTGGGAGGCCGAGTCTCTCCCCCAGCCTCCTGCCAGGCAGGGCCCTCCCCCACTCCAACACTTGGCTCTTCCAGGAATCCAGTGCCAATAGGCCCTCCGATCTCACCCCGAAGGGCATCCACTCCAGTTCAGAATCTCAAGCTTGGGAAGATCCTCAAAAGGAAGCGAATGACCCTCACCACTGACTCCATTCAGGGGGTTCATTCCTGACACCTTTGTCCCATGGGAGCCCAGCGATTATTCCCATCCCCCTACTGATGGGGGCTGTGTCTTTGGGGGGCAGCACCGTGCACATCTGAGCTGCTGTAAGAATGGGTCGTGTGGTGTTGACCTGAGACTGGGTGTGTTTGTTTCCCATTGTGGTCCTCATCCTATGCCCTGTGGCTGCTGCTTCCACTTCACTCCTTTTTTTGTTTGTATTTTTTAGAGATAGGATTTCACTCTGTCACCCAGACTGGAGTGCAGTGGCGCAATCATAGCTTACCCCAGCCTTGAACTCCTGGGCTCAAGCAATCCGCCTGCCTCAGCCTCCCAAGTAGCTGGGACAACAGATGTGTGCCACCACATCTGGCTAATTTTTAAATTTTCTTTTTTGTACGACAGTCTTGCTATATTGCCCAGGCAGGTCTCAAACTTATAGCCTCAAGTGATCCTATTGTCTTGGCCTCCCAGAGTGCTGGGATTACAGGCCTGAGCCAGTGCGCCTGGCCCTTCATTCATGGTAGGATATGGTCCCCACTGCTTTTATCCTCCTGGTCATCTTCTCTGGAACACTCCTGGCCTGGTCCCCCTTCTCTCCATGGCCACCAGAGCCTGATCATGAAGCCCTCAGGCATCCTCCCCTCCCTGCTGTAGGTGGACATTGTCCCCTCTCCCACTGAGGCTTTCTGGAAATCATAGATGTTCTCTCCCTGGGCCTCTTCTTCCTGCTCACTTTCTTGGTGAACGTCCACCAAGCAGGGAGTTCATGGAGCCAGGGACTCACAGCCAGAGCACCCCTTCCACCTTGGCCCTAGGCCGAATCCTTGGCCTTTATTCTGACTCCCATCCAGTTTGGCAAACAGTGGTGGGAAAGATGTCCCCGTGACACCATTTTATCCACACAGAGAAGAGATTGAGAAGCAGAAGGCAAAAGAGCGTTACATGAAAATGCACTTGGCCGGGAAGACAGAGCAAGCCAAGGCCGACCTGGCCCGACTGGCCATCATCCGGAAACAGCGGGAGGAGGCTGCCCGGAAGAAGGAAGAGGAAAGGAAAGGTAAGGGCTGGGTTGTGCATGCAGGGACAGCCCCCAACTTTGGTCCTGGGCCAGCCACAAAGCCCTGAACTCGTGTCCCTGTCCGCGTGGTGATGATGAGGTGAGGAGTGATTACTGCCTAGAGAGCCCACACTCCCTATGCCTGCCACTTGCCGGGGGACCAGCAGGGTCCAGTGACATCATGGAGTCAGTTGTGGGTTGAAGTCCCAGCACAGCACTGTCCACAATAGGTGGAGTTACTACTCCTAACAGCAGGAGGTCACAGGAAACCACACCCCTAGTACAGACCTTGCCTGAGACTCACAGGTCCCACCAAGGTCTCTGGTGCCTTAGGAACCCGGGAGAGCTGCCTGGGGCCACCGCTGGCCATCTCCAGGGCTTGGGAGGGTGAGCTGGATACACAGCAGTGCAGACCGGCTTGACGTCCGGCCCAGGCATCCCTTTTCCTGTGCTCTCCCTCCAGGCAGGCCAGAGGTGGTGGAAGTTCCTCTAGGCCAGGGTGGCTATGGGAGTTGGTCGTTCATAGGAGCATTTGACTTGCAGCCTTCCATCTCCCGGGGGTCTGTGAGAGCCCCTACATGTCCATCTGTCCTGCCTGGAAGCGGGCCCAGAAAGGGGAAACCAGTTGCTCAGGGATGTTGTCACTTGCACCAGAAATCCAGTGATCCCAACTTCCGATTCAACCCTGCTTCACAAACCCCAAGCAGGAAAGGACTTCACATGTAACTGTTGGAACGTTTAATTTAGACTTCAGAACCCGTGGCGGGAGGTTAGAATTATAGGGTTCTGCTGGGAGGTGGGGTGTGAAGTTTCCATTTGCCCACAAGAGTGTGTGTTGGTGGGGCTTTGTAGAGGGGACAGCTTTCTATAAGGTGGTCTGGCCACTGAAACGTGTTGGTAATGTCAGGGGGTCCCGGGGTGGTAGCTGCAGCAGAAATCCTCTCCCATGCCTCGGCTCTCCTCGGCTCCCTTCTTTGTTGCACAGGATGTTTTCTGCAGCCTTTCAGACCTAAGGTTCTAGGGTTCTGGCGCGTGTGTTGGGAGGGGTGGGAGTTGCTTTGTTTTAACCCCTGCCCTTCTCCTCCCACCCTCAGCAAAAGATGATGCCACATTGTCAGGAAAACGAATGCAGTCGCTCTCCCTGAATAAGTAACCGCGACGTGTGGGAGGAGATGCCGGGGACCTGGGCCGCGCTGCCAGGACCTCTGCTGTGTCTTGCCCACCCTGTGCCCTGGCGCCGCTGCAACAGCCCCTCACGGCCAGGAGCCCCCCACGGCCTGGGGCCTCCTTTTCATCTTGGCACAGAAATTGTTTGGGGAATGTGGGGGGGGGCTGGGGGAGGGGCAGCTGCTATCTTTGAGACAGAAAGATGCAGGACAGCATTTCATATGTAACCATTTGAATGTTTTCGCTGTTTTTAGAATTCAGAGCCCTTGCTGGGGGGTGCCTGGGAGATGGGGTAAGAAGAGCTTTCATTTGTCTGGTAGATAGCATGTAAGGGGATGGTTGTCCCAGGAGGCAGCTGCCGACAGGTTTGCTATACCCAGCCCCGGACTGTGTTGCCTGGGTGCTCATTCAGAGAGGGGCTGTCATCCGGGAGCCTGTGCCCCTGGGTCCTCAAGGGTCATGGCTTGTCCCTGGTCAGTCCTGTCTGGTTGAGGCCTCGCCTGTCTGCCCTTCCCTGCCCGGTTCCTACCCACCCGGCCAGGGCCAGTGCCCATTTTTAACCCTACCCATTGATCATTTCAAGAAACCTCTGTTTACTGTGTGGCACCCAGGCAAAACATGCTCCACAAATTCAACTTGTATATTTGGCAGATTAAACTTGACATTATCGTAATCTTTGTTTTGCACTCCATCCTTTGGCTCCCATGCTCGAGCCATTTTTACCCAGCTGGGTATGGTGCCATGTTCAGGCACACGTACCTGGCAAGGTTCAGGGCACATATCTACCTGGGGCCCTGGGGCATGACATCTGTTAGGAGGCACTAAGCAGGGTTCGGGGATGGACCCCAGGATTGTAGGATTGGGGCTGGGAGAGACCTCAGATGCCACAGCCTGCTCCCTCCCCTCCTTTAGCCAAGTTGGGATCTTAGGCCTCAGCAGGCAGGGACCCTTCCAGGCCACAGCAGGCTGAAGCGGCACCAGGATCCTGGTCTGGCCTGTAGATGTCCCCTGGTAGTTATAATTCTGTAACTCTAGGGGAGAAGGGGAGTAGCACTGGCATTGGATGTCGCCAAGGCCCACATTTTCCTGAGAGAAGCCACAAAAGGTGTGCAAATGCCCTTTAGTGCAGGACCCGGTGACATGACATCAACTCCAAGACAGAACCTCACTTTGCAGCACAGGAAAAGTATATCTAAAATGAGCATGTATCAGAAATCAACTGCCAACATTGTAATGACAAAATAAATTCCCGTGAAGTTCCATAACCAGGCCGGGCACGGTAGCTCAAGCTTGTAATCCCAGCACTTTGGGAGGCGAAGTGGGTGGATCATCTGAGGTCAGGAGTTCGAGACCAGCCTGGCCAACAAGGAGAAACCCCATCTCTACTAAAAATACAAAAATTAACCAGGCTTGGTGGTGTGCGCCTGTAATCCCAGCTACTCGGGAGGCTGAGGCAGGAGAATCGCTTGAACCCAAGGAAGGCAGAGGTTGCAGTGAGCCGAGATCGCACCACTGCACTCCAGCCTGGGCGACGAGCAAAACTCCATCTCAAAACAAAAGTTCCACAACCAGCCTGGAATGTGTAGCCCCTTTGTGCAGGAATTTCACTAGTCAATCAGTGACACCTGGTACTGGCAGTTTTGGGAGTGGCAGCCCAGGATGGACAGCACTGGGGAAGGAACCATTTGGCATAAGGCTGCTGGGCTTCAGGATCAATGTTGTTGGCCAGCAGTAAAAACAAGCTATCTACCTATGGCTGTGCAAACACCAACCTCTCCCTGGAGTCCCAGCTGCTTGGGAGGCTGAGGCAGAAGGATTGCTCCCACGAGTTCCAGTGCAGCCTGGATAACTTAGCAAGACCCCAAGAAAATAACAAAAAACCTCTCCTTCCACATAGGCAAGCGTGTCCACAATTGCTTTTTTTTTTTTTTTAAACAGAGTTGCATTTTATTACCTCCACATTTTGAAGCAGTTCATGACCAGCATAGTGCTTTGGGGGCATTTTTTTTTTTTTTTTCAATAAATGAAAGCATTTCTTTAAGAAAAAGGCACATATTTCTTGAATAGGTAAGAAAAGCTCCCCATCTGTCCCCTCTTTGAGGGAGCAGCCCCTATGGGGACTCACATTGGTACCCCAGAAATATTCAGCAAAGCAACCATTAGCCTCCCCTACTCCTCTCCCTGCTTCCCCAGCAGCTAGGATGAAGGTAACATATTCCTCACAGGTCATTTGATCTTGAGGTCCTTCAAGGCTGACTCCAAGCTCTGCAGGGAGGCAGAACGGACAGGCTGGTTCTCAGCTGTCCGGCAGGCACCCCACTCCCAGGGACCTGATCACCCATCTCAGCCCCAGGACAGCAGAGGGCAGAGAACCTGCAGTTTCGGAGTCTGTCAGAACTGGGTTTGAATCCCAGCCCTGAAGACGGGTGCCCCAGTGAGCACCAAGGCCCAGATGACAAGGGGCCGCCCCCAGCCCTCATCCTCTTGCAGTGCCATCTCTGCAGGAGTGAAGGATGGGGGTCACCTCCAGGGAGTGGGGATGGGGGGAAAGAGTTGACCTGGGGGGCACAGCGGGAAGCCAGGAAGGGCAAGCCTCACCTTAACATCCCAGATGCTCATGCCGCCGTCCATGCCAGTGGTGCAGAACTGCGAGCACTTGGCCTTGCCCCCGCTGAGCACCGAGATCTGGCTGCAAAGAGGAAGAGGAGCTTACGAATCCAACCTGTGCTGGCGCTGGGCTCAGGCTCACCCTGTCCAGGCGCTCCCAGACTTCTTGGGGAGCGGGCTTCAGTGAGAAATGCTGAGACAGGGTGTAGTGGACTTAGAAGTCAGCTCTGCTTTTGGGAACGAGCAGTGGTGTGGGAAGTGCAGGCAAATGGGACAGGACACTCAAGTCCAGGGAGGCAGGAAAGACACATGTGTTTGCGGAGTGTACACAGTGCCAGCAGTGCAGCTGGACAGGACAAAAAAGGAGGTGAGGGTGGGGGCAGCCAGGGACTAAGATGACAGCCGGGCAAAGGTGTTACGTCTGAGGAAGCCATCAGATCTGGCGGCCACAGGAGGTTTTACAGGCCGAAGGGCTTGGCCAGTCTTGCCATACAGCTCCCTCTGATTCGCCGTGGGGTGGATGCGTGTGGCTGGCAGCTTTTGGGCTTTGGAGAGCCTCTTTTTCCCCATCCCACCCTAGATCCTTAGAAGGCTGCAGAGACCCTCAGCTCCGCCCCCACCTCGCTGAGTACTAGCAACAGACCCACCCCAGCTGTGACCCCGCCCAGGACACCCGCTGGTCACTGCCTGACCACCCCACAGAACAGTGCCCACCCAGCTATGTCCGGGAAATGCAGAGCGAGGCTAGCTGCTCAGCCCCTATCTGATGCTATTTTTATGCAACCTAAAGAGGTCGACTCCGTCTTTTATGTCGGTCCCACCGTGTCCCTCCCGGGCTCCACTAGCACCTGAGCTGCTAGGGTGAGATCGAGACGGGCCCCGCCCACAACGAACGTTAATCCTACAGCGAGTCGAAGCCACTCCCTACCTTGGGCCTGCTACGCCCCCTCTGCCGCCCCACGTGGTTATCATGCAGCGTCGAGGCCCCGCCCACAAACAGGCCCCGTCCCCTAGTCCGGGCCTGCCCCTCATCTGACGCCGTTCCTGCGCAGCGAGTAGAGGGCAGGCCTACCCTCCCTCCGGGCCCCCAGTCCTCACCGTCCCAGCACAACGCCCCAGTAGGAAGAGTCCAGACCCCTTCCTCACCCGACGCTGCTACTGGGCGAGTCGAGGCCCCGCCCCCGCCCTCACCTGACGCTGTTCTTGTGCAGCGAGTCCAGGCCCGCGCCCGCAGTCGTGCCGCCCTCCGAGCTCGCCTTCTTGTCGAGGTTCTGGAAGCGCTCGCGGGCCGTTAAGCCACGCTGCGAGCTCTGCTTGGGAACGTCCAGCCGCCCGCCAAAGCTCAGCATCCCCGCAGCGGCGTCATAGGTGAACAGCACTGGGAAGCAGTCGTGGCCCTGAGCGGGGAGGCGGGGACCATTGGAGCGCTGCCGAAGGGGAGGGCAGGCGGGCATCTGGCGGCCCGGGAGGCAGATGCCAGCTCAAGGACACAGACGGGCCACAGCGAGGGAGGCCCGAATAGCAGGTGTATCAAAATCGGGGCCATGCTGGGGGCTGCCACCTCCCCCAGCAAGGCCAACATTGGGACTCCCTGGGAGCCCAGGCGCCTTCTGTCCTGCCAGCCAGTTACACCTGCTCTAGGGGAGACCCCTGCAGCTGGTTGCTTTTCTAGGCAAAAAGCAAGCCTGACCTGACCCTGGCATCCCCGTTATGTTTGCAGAGGGGTGAAAAGGGATTTGACAGATGTGGGCAGAGGGGAGGGAGAGCAGTGCCCTTCCCGGACACCTGGAGGAACTGCACACCCCGAACTCCTGCCCTTTGCATTAGGCGTGGCCTTGCCATTGCACCTGCCAATAAAATGTGGGCAGAAATGTTCAGACCCAGGGCATGATTCCACAGGTTCCGGCTCCCTCGTGGCATCTGGGACAGCATGCTGGCGACAGCCTCCATCAGAGCCCCTCACAACACCCACACTGGACATAAAATGTGAGCAAGAAGTAAATCTCTTTTTTCTTTTTTTTCTATTTTTGAGATGGAGTCTCTGTGACTCAGGCTGGAGTGCAGTGGCACGCTTGGCTCACTGCAACTTCTGCCTCTGGGTTCAAGCAATTCTCCTGCCTCAGCCTCCCAAGTAGCTGGGACTATGGGTGCCCGCCACCACACTCGACTAATTTTTGTATTTTTAGTGGAGATGGGGTTTTGCCATGTTGGCCAGGTTGGTCTTGAACTCCTGACTTCAAGTGATCTGCCCTCCTCAGCCTCCCAATTTGCTGGGATTACAGGCGTGAGCCACCAGGCCTGCGTTTTTTTTTTTGAGACAGGTTCTCTGTTGCCCAGGCTGAAGTGCAGTGGTACGACCACAGCTCACTTCAGAAGCCTCAACCTCCCAGGCTCAAGTGATCCTCCTGCCTCAGCCTCCCAAGTAACTGGGATTATGAGATTACAGGTGCACCACCACACCCAGCTATGTTCTTAACTTTTTGTAGAGACAAGGGTCTCACTATGTTGCCTGGGCTGGTCTCAAACTCCTGGCCTCAAGTGATACTTCCACCTCAACATTCCCAAAGTGCTGGGATTTTAAGCATGAGCCACTGCACCTGACCAAATCTTTACTCTGTTAAGCAACTGTAGCCAGGAACTTTTGGTTACTGCAGCATAATCCAACCTGTTCTGCCCAACTCTGGTACATGAGAGAATGCAAGGAAGAAAAAAGGAGGGAGGCAGGAGAAAGGAGGGAAGCTGGGCTCTCTGCTGTGACCACACTCCCTCCCCATTCCTCACCGCTGCCACCAGGCTGTTGTCTGTGATGAAGGTCAGCGCCAGCAGCGGTAGCGTTTCAGAGGCCAGAGTCGCGACGCTGAGGGGAGACAGCTTTCGGTCACACTGTCCCGCTCCTCTGCACTCACCTCCTCCCCCAGGATGGCCTCTACTCACGCCATCTTCTTGTCAGCATCAGCCAGGCACACGGTGCTGTCGTGGCTCACCCAGGCCACGCGGCTCCCACTGGCTGAGAAGCAGACGCCATGTACCCAGCCACAGCTACTGCTGGATTCGAACATCAGCTCCCCAAAGGGCATCTTGGAGCCCCATGGGGTGGGTGCCGGCCGTTCCTCCACCTCCTTGATGTAGGCTGAAAAGATCCTACCGGGAAAGGCAAAATAGAGGTAAAGTAGCCAGGCATGGTGGTGTGCACCTGTACTCTCAGCTACTCAGGAGGCTGATGCGGGAGGATTGCTTGAACCCAGGAGGTCAAGGCTGCAGTGAGCTGTGATTGCACTACTGTGCTCCAGTTTGGGCAACAGAGTGAGACTGTCTCAAAATAAAAAAAAAAATTTTTTAAAGGGTTAACAGGTGCCTGGGCATGGTGGCTCAAGCTTGTAATCCCAGCACTTTGGGAGGCTGAGGCAGATGCATCACTTGAGGTCAGGGGTTCGAGACCAGCCTGGTCAACATGGCGAAACCCCATCTCTACATTTAAAAATACAAAAATTATCCGAGCGTGGTAGCGGGCGCCTGTAGTCCCAGCTACTCAGGAGGCTGAGGCAGGAGAATCGCTTGAACTCAGGAGGCAGAGGTTGCAGTGAGTCGAGATCGCACCACTGCACTCCAGCCTGGACGAAAGAGCGAGACTCTGTCTCCAAAAAAAAAAAAAAAAAAAAATCCCAGCCAGGCGCGGTGGCTCATGCCTGTAATCTCAGCACTTTGGGAGGCCAAGGCGGGTGGATCACGAGGTCAGGAGATTGAGACCATCCTGGCTAACACAGTGAAACCCCGTCTCTACTAAAAATACAAAAAATTAGCCAGGCGTGGTGGTGGGTGCCTGCAGTTCAGCTACTCGGGAGGCTGAGGCAGGAGAATGGTGTGAACCCAGGAGGCGGAGCTTGCAGTGAGCTGAGATCGCGCCACTGCACTCCAGCCTGGGCGACAGAGCGAGACTCCATCTCAAAAAAAAAAAAATCCCATCTAGCTGGGAGTGGTAGTCTTGCTTGGGAGGCTGAGAGGCCAGAGGATCTCTTGAGCCCAGGATTTGGAGGCTGCAATGAGCTATGATTGCACCACTGCATTCCAGCCTGGGCAACAGGGCAAGCCCCTATCTCAAAAAAATAAAAGAGGTGGGCAGAGGCATGTCCAGCTGAGACATGAAGGGTTCCCCGGGGACTAGAACCTTCAACCGACGCCCAGGTGATCCACTGGTAGCATTTCTGGAGCAGGTCTAGAAGGTGGGGTGTAGAACTTTCAGGTGTGGCTCCCCCACCACCCTCCAATCTCCGCTATGATGTCAGCAGTCAGTTAACGTCAGCCCCACCCTCCCCCATGGCACCCTGTCTCACCGGCACTTGAAGTCACAGGAGCCAGCAGCCAGCAGCACGTTGTTGGGGTGCCAGTCCAGGCTGAGGACGGTGGAGCGGATGGGCTTCTTGATGTGCTTGCAAACCCACCTGGGCATGGTGGTCAGGCAGACAGGGAGAGAGGGACAGGCAGGTGGGACTCACGGACCTCAGCACCAGGGACTTCAGGCTCCCACTGCTCCCTACAGCCCACCAAAGACCCAGGAGAGATGCAACTGGGCACTCCCAGCCCACAAGGCTCTCAGGGCCCGGGGGCGGCAGGGATGCGCTAGGTTGCTTCTGGAGTGGGAACTCTGTGCTCTCTATCCTTTAAGCCACACAGTCACCCTCAGGGCAGGCTCAGCAAAGTGTTGCCACCACCAGAGGTCACACAGCTACTAACTGGCCATGGTGGGATGCAAATTTGCGTCTCTCAGATGCTCCTGCCTGGCCTCTGCCCTCAGCCATGCAGGGGAGAAGATTAAGAACTAAGACATGGACTGGCCACCATGGCTCACACCTGTAGTCTCAGCACTTTGGGAGGCTGAGGTGGGAAGGTTGCTTGAGGCCAGGAGTTCAAGACCAGCCTGGACAACTTGACGAGACCCTATCTCTACAAAATAAATAAATAAATTATTTGGGCCTGTAGTCCCAGCTACTCAGGAGGCTGAAGCAGTAGGATCACTTGAGCTCAGGAGGCTGAGGCTGCAGTGAGCTATGATCACAACACTGCACTCCAGCCTAAGCGACAGAGCAAGACCTTGTCTCAAAAAAAATATATATGGCCGGGCGCAGTGGTTCACGCCTGTACTCCCAGCACTTTGGGAGGCTGAGGCAGGTGGACCACCTGAGGTTGGGAGTTCAAGACCAGCTTGACCAACATGGAGAAACCCCATCTCTACTAAAAAATACAAAATTAGCCAGGTGTGGTGGCGCGTGCCTGTAGTCCCAGCTACTTGGGAGGCCGAGGCAGGAGAATCGCTTGAACCTGGGAGGCGGAGGTTGCAGTAAGCTGAGATTGTGCCACTGCACCCCAGCCTGGACGACAGAGCAAGACTCTGTCTCAAAAAAAAAAAAAAAAAGAAAAAAAAAAATTGGGCTGGCGCGGTGGCTCACACCTGTAATCCCAGCACTTTGGGAGGCCGAGGTGGGTGGATCACGAGGTCAGGAGTTCAAGACCAACTTGGCCAAGATGGTGAAACCCCACCTCTACTAAAAATACAAAAATTAGCCAGGCATGGTGTCAGGCGCCTGTAATCCCAGCTACTTGGGAGGCTGAGGCAGAGAACTGCTTGAACCCGGGAGGCGGAGGCCACAGTGAGCCAAGATTGTGCCACTGCACTCACTCCAGCCTGGGCAACAGAGTGAGACTCCGTCTCATAAAAAAAAAAAAAAAAAAAAAGGAACAAGATGTGGCTGCGAGCTTGTGAGTGGTGCCTTGAGAAAGTGACTTTGCTGCAGGGCCTTACTTTGCTAATCTGTAAAGTGGGGAGAGTGAGCGATGCCCAGTCCACAGAGCTGCAGGGAGGTCAGGACTGATGTGTGTGCAGGGCTTAGTGAGGTGCCCCCAGAGGTGTTTCTAGTGTGTTGGATGTCGTCGTCCCAAGCAGTCGGCTGTGAGAACATCCGGGCACTGCAGAGAGGCCCTTGCCTCGTGAACGAGGCCCAGAGAGGAGAGGATGGACTCCCCAGGGGTCATGGGAACAGGGGTCCCGACATCCCATTTGGTGCTTCCCGGGGACACTCTAGTCCTGCCCCCAGGTCCCTACCAGCCCACTCCCGCCCCGCCCAGGTACCCACCAGTCGTTCTCCTGCTCGAAATAACAGATGGAGATGACACGGGAGCCGCTGCCCACAGCAAACTTGTTCTCGTTGGGGGCCCAGCGCACACAGCGGGCGGCCCGGTTGATCCGCAGGATGACCAGCGTGGGCTTCCACGTGCGGCCCTTCAGCGTCCACACGTAGGCATTGCGGTCTGTGCCGCAGGTCACAATACGGTTACTCTCGGGGGCCCAGTCGATGCCTGTGGGGGGATGGAGGGGACACAGGAGGCTGACGACACTCAGGCAGGGGTGGCTCTATGGTGGCCACACAGGAGAGGCTGAAAGGCCACAATCAAGGTGGAAGCTGTATCTGCCCAGTAGGCATTTTTTTTTTTCTCTTTGAAATGGAGTCTCACTCTGTCACCCAGGCTGGAATGCAGTGGCATGAGCTTGGCTCACTGCAACCTCTGCCTCCCAGGTTCAAGCAATCCTTGTGCCTCAGCCTCCTGAGTAGCTGGGACTACAGGTGTGTACCACCAATCTTTCTTTTTTTTTTTTGACACGGCGTCTCATTCAGCCGCCCAGGCTGGCGTGCAGTGGCGTGATCTCAGCTCACTGCAACCACCATCTCCCGGGTTCAAGCGATTCTCACGTCTCAGCCGCCCAAGTAGCTGGGATTACAGGCACCCACCATCATGTCTGGCTAATTTTTGTATTTTAATAGAGATGGGGTTTCACCATGTTGGCCAGGCTGGTCTTGAACTCCTGACCTCAGGTGATCCGCCTGCCTTGGCCTCCCAAAGTGCTGGGATTACAGGCGTGAGCCACCGCACCCAGCCTCTTTCTTTCTTTCTTTGTTTTTATTGAGACACAGTTTTGCTGTGTCGCCCAGGATGGAGTGCAGTGGTGTGAACTCAGCTGACTTCAACCTCTGCCTCCTGGGTTCAAGCGATTCTCCTGCCTCAGCCTCTGGAGTATCTGGGACTACAGGTGTGTGCCACCACACCAGGCTAACTTTTGTATTTTTCAACATTTTGTCATGTTGGCCAGGATGGTCTCGAACTCCTGAACTCAAGCGATCCACTCGCCTTGGCTTCCCAAAGTGCTGGGATTACAGGCATGAGCCACCACACCCGGCCCAGCAAGCACTTTTTACTGAGATCCACTGCTTATTTAGAGTGACACCAGGGGGCACTCCTAGAGCTTATGAGGGAGCGTCAGAGCCCTCCATGCTATCAGTAAACATGCTGGAGGGCAAAGCCAAGAGGCAGAAAAGATGGGTTCTTGGTCATGTGGAGCTGCTGGATCAAGCCTCTCCTGAAGCCCTCAACCCTCTTGGTTTTTTTGGTAACATGAGGCAACACAGTCCCCTTAAAATTGAAGCCAGTTTGAATCAGGGTTTCACAGTGAGTGGGTAGATGCCCCATAATGAGTGGCCATGTCCTGCCTTGCACCCCACCCCCCACCTCCTTTCAGGAGGGTAGTCCCAGCCACCCTGACATACCTGTCACCTGCCCGTTGTGCTCCTTGAGCTCGTGCACCTTGGTCCATTTGGCACCGCTCTTTTCGTAGATGTGCACCTCGTGGTTGTTGGGGCAGATGGCGATCTCTGCAGGGGAGATGGAAGGAGACTGAGGGGCCCTCTCCATGACTGCCCTCTGCCAGGACACACTACACAGTGCACCCGGGCAACAGCCTCATCCTTCATGACTCAGGCTCTCCTCCTCTGCCTTGGAGGGGGGCCCCTGAAGTCCTTCAGGCCCTGCCAGTTCACCCTCTCTTCTCCTGGGACTGACTGTCCTTTACTCGCAGCAATGACCCCTGGGACCTCTCCCCACCCTATCACTCTAGCCAGCCAGGGTCCCCTCGCTGCTCCTGCTGACACCTCAGGGCCCCTGCACCTGCCAGCCCCTCCCCAGCTGGGGCAGAGTTCCCTCCCTCTCCTCCTCTGGGTGTCTGTGTAAATGTCAAAATGTCATCTCCTCCAAAAGGCTTTTCCTGGCCACTTTTTCTTTCTTTTTTTTTTTGGTTTTTGCTTTTTTTTTTGGAGACAAGAGCTTGCTTTTGTCCAGCCCAGGGCTGGAATGCAGTGGTGGCACCATCTCGGCTCACCTGCGACCTCCGCCTCCCGGGTCGAAGAGTGTTCGTCCGCTGCACTCAGCCCTCTCCCAGTAGCTGGGATTACGGGGCCGCATGCCGTCCACCGTGGCCCAGCTAGATTGTTGCATTTTAAATAGAGACAAGGTTTCACCATGGTTCGGCCAAGGCTGGTCCTGCGAACTCCTGACCTCCCAAGTGATCCACCGCAACCTCGCCTCCAAAAGTGCTGGGATTACAGGCGTGGCCACTGCACGCGCTGGCCCATTCTCCTCCTAAAACTTTACCGGGAGACCCTGGTCCAACCTGGAAGACCCAGCGAGTGAGGCCCGGCGGGACAGGCCCGCAATGGAGCCTAGGTCCGGGGGCCTGGCCTGCTCCAAGTGTCGCCCATCCCAGGAGGTAGAGAGCAGCCAACACACCGCGCCCCCAGCAAGCACTCGCCACGGCTGCAGTCCTTGTTCCAGGCGTGGGCAGGAGATGGGCCCTCCATCCCAAGGAAGCTGTCGTAAGGCCAATGGCCGGGCTGGCTCCTGTGCGAGAGAGAAGCAGAAGAATCCCACGCAGCCCTGCACCTTGCCCCTGACTTTACCCCGGATAACCAGGGCCCGCAAGCTGATCCCTCAAGGGCCTCAAACCCAGGATGCCCCTCAGTGCTAGAGAGGGCAGCCTGTTTGGCAGAGACCGAGCAGCAGGGGCCAGCCTGGCCTCCTAAACTGCCTGGACATGTTCCTTCCTCCTGGGGGCCCTCAAGATTTCCCTCGCTTATAAAAGGGACAGGCTTTTCCCACGGGATACACTTCTGAAGGCTCCAGGGACCAGGGTGGAGGAATATAGTAACTACAAGGGGAGATGCTCCCTGGGACGCCGGGTTTGGGGCTGCTAGCCGGACAGCGCCCTCCCACTTGTCCTGCGCCGTGCTCAGTTTCCTCACAGGCGATGACGCCACCCCAACCTTCCCTGCCCCCATTGAAGATGGAATGAAGATGAAGTCCCATCCAGGCCAGCGCCGTGGGCTCATGTTTGCAATCCCAAACCACCTTGGGAGATCAGAGGTGGGTGGAATCACTTGCCAGCCAGGAGGTGGTCAAGACCCAAGGCCTGGCCAAACATGGGGAACGCACGCCTGTCTTTACCGAAAAATACAAAAAAAATTAGCCCCGGGTGGTGGTGGCCAGGCACCTGTTAGTCCCCAGCTACATCGGGAGCTGAGGCAGGAGAATGGTGTGAACCTCCGGGGGGCGGGGCTTGCAGTAAAGCCAAAGATCAGCACCCAACTGCACTCCCAGCCTGGCCAGCAAAAGCCAGCACTCCATCTCAAAAAAAATTAGCCAGGTGTGTGGCCGCCTGGCTGTAATACCAGCTACTCAGGAAGGCCCTCGGGTGACACGGTAAGACTCCATCTCAGGAAAAAAAAAAAAAAAGAAAAGAAAGAAATGAAAGTAATCTCCCATAAACCAGGAAAACCACCTAAAAAAGGTGTCCCCAAAAATCACATGGGCGATGTGCCGCTGGCCCGTGCCCCAAGAGCCGCTGGTCCTTCCCATAACCCACTGACTCAGGACCGGGAGAGGGAGGTGGCCGCGATAATACAGGGGGCTCATGGGTGAGGGCAAAGGCAGGTATTTAGAACAGATAGTATCTCCATTCTCCATCCCCCAGACACCCCACCTGGCTGCACCCCCAGACGCTGGAAGGAGGGCAGCCACGGGCCTAGGCCAGGCTGGTGAGTGGCTCTTGGGGAGGCCCCCAGGTGACCCCCAGTCTGAGGAAAGCTGAAGGAGGGAGTTTTTTTCTTTTTTTTTTTGAACCAGACCATGGGTCTCTCTCTCTCCCGCCCCCCGTTGAGGCTGGAGTGCAGTTGCGGTGTGATACATGGCTTAACCTAATAGCCATGAACTCCCGGCGATTAGCAAGCGTGTGCCACTGTGCCCAACAATTTTAAATCTGTTTGATAGACCGGGGTCTCACAGTGTTGTCCGCAGGCTGGTCCTCCAAGGCTCAAGCCAGGCTCAAGAGAATGCTTACCTTCCTCACCTGCAACAAAGTATTTTGGGATTACCAGGTGTGAGCCCCCACTACCACTCGGCCAAAGAACGAAGGAGACTGGCCAGCCCCTAAGACTAGCCCCCAGCACATTGAGAGGGAAGCTGGCCAGAGGGGCACGAGCTATCTTACGCAGCCAGCTGCAAACAGTCACCAGCCTGTCCAGGGCCTGCTCCACCACCCGGCTGAGTGTCCAAAGGAGCCCCCAGGCCCTGAGGTGAGGGTGAGATCACGGTCCCTCGCGCCGCCAGGTTCCTCAAGCCCAATCTTCCCGCGCCTCCATGACTCCCCAGTTTCCCAGCATCAGCAGGGACCTGGAGTAAGGAGCCCCAGGCCACAATGCCCTGGAACATGTCAGCCTGCCTTCTTGAACCCCCTCAGTTTCCTCCATCTGTAAATTGGAGGCAGAATCCAAG